TGAGACGGAGTTTCGCTCTTGTTACCCAGGCTGGAGTGCAATGGCGCAATCTCGGCTCACCGCAACCTCCGCCTCCTGGGTTCAGGCAATTCTCCTGCCCCAGCCTCCTGAGTAGCTGGGATTACAGGCACGTGCCACCATGCCCAGCTAATTTTTTGTATTTTTAGTAGAGACGGGGTTTCACCATGTTGACCAGGATGGTCTCGATCTCTTGACCTCGTGATCCACCCGCCTCGGCCTCCCACAGTGCTGGGATTACAGGCTTGAGCCACCGCGCCCGGCTGATTATATATTTCTTTATATTTTAGATATAAGAGCCTTACTGAATATATGATATGCAAGTGAAGGTTGCAGTGAGCTGAGATTGTGCCATTGCACTCCCGCCTGGGTGACAGAGCAAGATTCTGTCTCAAAAAAAAAAAAAAAAGAAAGGAAACCCAAAACTATAGACTCTGGCAACCACTAATCTACTTTAGTAGTTTGGATTTGTCTATTCTGGACATTCCATGTAGATGAAATTATGCCATATGTGGTCTTTTGTGACTGACTTCTTACACTTAGTATGGTTTCAAGGTTCATCAACGTTGGAGCAGCTATCAGTACTATACTCCTTTTTTATGGCTGAGTAACATTCCACAGTTATACCAGATCTTATTTATCAGCTGATAGATACTTGGGTTGTTTCCATTTTTTGGCTATTGTGAATAATGCTGCTCTGAACATTTGCCCGTAAGTCTTTGTGTGACCACCTGTTATCAATTCTTTGGAGATGTACACCTAGGAGCTGGACTGCCAGGTCATACAGTAAACATTTTGAGAAACTGCCAAACTGTTTTCCAATCAGCTGCGCTATTTTACATTCCCACTGGTGATAAGTATGAGAGTTCCAATTTCTCCATATCTTTGTCAACACTTGTTATTGTCCATCTTTCTTTTTTTTTTATTCCCAGATCCCTGTTCTTTATATTGTCCATCTTTCTTATTACAACCATCCTAGTAGATGTGAAATAATCATTGTGGGGTTTTGATTGGCATTTCTCTCATGGCTAATGATGTTGAGCATCTTCTATGTGCTTAATAGCCATTTATCTATCTTCTTTAGAGAAAATTCAGATTCTTTGTCTATTCTAAAAATGAGGATATCTTTCTATTGTTGACTTGTAAAGGTTCTTTATATATTTTAGATACAAGAGCCTTACTGAATATATGATATGCAAATACTTTCTTCCATATTCTATGGGTTGTCTTTTACTTTCTTGATAGTATCCTTTGAAGCAGAAAAGATTTAGATTTTGATGAAGCCCATGAAATAGAGCATATTCATCTTCAGATTCTGGTTCACTACATGACTATCTCTTTGTCTAGTTCCAAACCTGACACCGTGTGGACAAGGATATCTTTTATTCACTGCCCTTAGGTTTGGACCCAGAGGTCAAACCCAGACACATGGATACTCTCTGACCTTAATGAAACAAGAGTTGGGGGAAGGACAGCTGCAAAATGGCAATCAACTTTGGGAGGTGATTTGGGCCTTTCATGCTGACCTACTTACCTTTGGTGCTGCACTTTCCGTCTTTTCATCCTGCCCACATCATTCTCAGAGTTTTGCTCCTCTGCTCTGGGCTCTGTATTAGAAATGCTCATTAAATTTAGCTCTTTAACAAAACAGTCTTCACATATGATGTTCCTTCTTCTAAGAATATTCTTTCTACCCTCTTTGCCTGGATAATTATTTCTCACTCTTCAAGTCTTAGCTGAAAGCTAATTCCTATGAGGCACTTTCCCTGGATTCTCTAGTCTAAATCTAGCCATCTAATTATGCTTTTCCTTGAAACTACTCATCACAGTTTGAGGATTTAAACTTATTTGTATGACACGGACATGTGTTTCTCCACCTGGGAAGAAGCATTGCTATTTTATTTACTGTGGTATCCCTGCTGCTAGCACAAAGCCTGGCACAAACAGATGTTTAATAAATACCTGTGAAATGAGTGATAATAAAAACCATCAACCACCATTCATCTAGTTATTCCGAATTTATGAAACACTTTATACAGCATTTAATATATTTTATTTATTTATTTATTTGAGACGGGGTCTCGCTCTGTTGCCTAGGCTGGAGTGCAATGGCAAGGTCTTGCCTCACTGCAACCTCCCTGCCTCCTGGGTTCAAGCGATCTCCTGCCTTAGCCTTCCGAGTAGCTGGGATTACGGGTGCCCACCACCACACCCAGCTAATTTTGTATTTTTAGTAGAAACAGGGTTTCACCATGTTGGCCAGGCTGGTCTCAAACTCCTGACTTTGTGACCTGCCCACCTCGACCTCCCAAAGTGCTAGGATTACAAGTGTGAGCCACTGCACCTGGCCTTATTTAATATATTTTAAAGTGCTTCCATAGCTCCAGGACCCAGCCTATAGCAGATGCCCAAAAATGATGAGTTCCCTTCTAGTCGCTTTCTCTTAAAATAATAAACTACATGTGATAGACAGCTTCTGAAATGACTCCCATTGATTGTTGCCTTCCTGGTATTCATGCCTCCACGTGAGTGTGGGCTGGGCTTGGTAACTTGCTTCTAATGAATAGAATTTGGCAAATGTGATGGGATGCACTACTGTGATTGGTTTGTAAAAGGCCGTGACTTCTGTCTTACTAGCACTCTCTCTTGCTCTCCCATTTGCTCACTCTGATGAGGCAGGCCGATATACTGTGGGATGCTCTAAGAAGAGGTGCTTGTGGCAAAGGAACTGAAGGAAGCCTCAGTCCAATAGCCCACGAGGTACTGAATCTCATCAACAACCATGTGAGTGAGCTAGGAAGCAGATCCTTCCTAGTTGAGGTTTGAGATGTCTGTAGCCTTGTGACAGATCCAGGGCCAGAGGTCCCAGCTAAGCCATGCCTGGATTTCTAACCAACACATTGGTGAGATAATAAATGTTGTTTTAAGCCACTACATTTCAAGGCAAATTTGTTATACAATAAGAGATAAGAAATATCCCCTATTTTTGCAATGAAATAATATACTCATTATTTCAATAATTTTGTTTAGTCCTTTGAAGTAACAAATAAACCTTTTCCTTTTCTAATGTTTTCCCAAAGAAACAATGAACCACCCTGTTTTCTTTTTCATTTTTTTGAGACAGAGTCTTGCTGTGTCACCCAGGCTGGAGTGCAGTGGCGTGATCTCAGCTCACCGCAACACAGCAACCTTTGCCCCACCCCCGGCCCCCTTCCACCCCCCTCCCCCGCCTGATTCAAGTGGTTCTCCTACCTCAGCCTCCCGAGTAGTTGGGACTATAGGCATGTGCCACCATGCCTGGCTAGTTTTTTTTTATTTTTTTTATTTTTAGTAGAGATGGGGTTTCACCATGTTGCCCAGGCTGGTCTTGGTCTTGGTCTTGAACTCCTGACCTTGTGATCCCCCTGCCTTGGGTTCCCAAAGTGCTGGGATTACAGGCATGAGCCACTGCACCTGCCCCATCCTGTTTTCTTAACTTTTCAGCTAGAACTCTACTGGCTTTTCTCTTTCTTGTCTAGAATAGTAAAGAACAAGAGCTTTGGGGTTCAAATCCTGTCTCTGCCACTTACTAGCTGTGTGACTCAGAAAATTTAACCTTTTTGAATGTCATATTTTGTAAAATGAGGATAACAGTGTCTATGTACTTCATAAAGTTGGTTGTGAACATTAACTAAGTTAGTGAAAGCTCCCAGCAACATATCTGATGTGACGCAGAACTAGATTGTTTTTTAATCCTTTCTTTCTCAGTGATAAAACTATTCCCCTGCCTTATTTCTCCAATAAACTCCATACACCACCACCATGACTTACTTGTCTTTCTGAGATGATCACAGAACATTAATACTGTAAGAGTCCTCAATACTAGTTGGTTTGATTCCTTCACTTTGAAGATGAGGGAAACTGAAGCCAAAAGAGAGAAGGATTCCTGATTCCTAGGCCAGTGCTCTTTCAAATACTATTCAATATTTGATTTCTCTTCTGGTAACAAGACACCAACAATTATCTTTCCTACCACATGAAGTCCCACTTGTGAGCCATTCCTGTAGAGCAATGGTAGATTCAAGGAGGAGGGACATTGCTAGTGACAGGAGGGAACAGGTCATGTGCACTCACCTGCCCTGCCTGGATGACTGGGACCTGGTTCTGCATGGCTGTTCTTTGGGCTTGCCACACTGGCTGGAGGTACTCTGCGGGCAGCAGAAAGCACCATGTGGGCTGAACGCCCTAGAGTCCCTGGCTGCAGCTGTGTTAGGATATTCCTGAGGTCTGAAATTTCCTTGGTGTCCCTGCAGGGAAACAGAGAGCACTTGGTTCCACTTGGAACATAGATTCCCATTCTGCTCACTCTAGTGAATGGTATGTATTTAAGCAAGATAGGGTTAGGCCCAGAGTATGTGACAAATTTGGTGAATCCAGGCTGGGCTTGGTGCTTGTTAGTGACTTGATAGCTTTTTTTTTTTTTAGGAGAAAGATCTGAGAGGTGGCTTGGAGACATCCACTCTGTCAGGTACATACGCATGGGGATGTGGGAAGAATGTCCTCCGGATGGAAGGATTAGCTAGCCAGGGGCTAGGACCAGACTCCTGAGCATCAGAAGAACCCTGAGGAAAAAACATAAATGGATATGAAATACCAATATTCACCACCAGGGGACACTGCTACCTAGTGCAGGGGCCTACTCAAACTATCGAACTTTTGGGGACGTTTATTTCATTATTTCCTTCTAAATATTATTTAATAGTATGGTTTAGTATGATTCATTTTGTGAACAATTTTGCTAAACTGCAACTAAAAACCTACCAATTTTAGCCACAATTTCTAGCTATCTATGAAGAGATTTGTGTGTATGCATGGAGGCATATAGAAAGCGTGTCTCTAGCATTAACCACTGTATCTATCACAGGGATTTTATAACCTTCTTGCTCCAGAAATGTCTACGTGCAATCACCTCCCAAGATAATTTCTGCATATCTTATTTTTATTGTAGCATGCTGGTTTCTTAATTCTTTGTCAAAATTCAATTTATCTGTGATTACACCCCTACTTTTCTAAAAAAGAGATGGGGTCTCCGCCCAGGTACAATGGCTCATGCCTGTAATCCCAGCACTCTGGGAGGCCAAGGTGGGAGGATTGCTTGAGCCCAGGGCTTTGAGACCAGCCTGAGCAACATAGTAAGACCCTGTCTATACAAAAATAAAAAAATTAGCCAGGCATGGTAGTGCATGCCTGTGGTCCTAGCTACTTGGGAGGCTGAGGTGCTAAGGTGGGAGGACTGCTTGGAATTCAGAAGCCAAGGCTGCAGTGAGCTGTGACTGCACCACTGTATTCCAGCCCAGGTGACAGGGCAAGACCCTGTCTCAAAAAAAAAAAAAGAAGAAAAAAAGATGGGGTCTTGCTCTACCCAGGCTGGAGTGCAGTGGCAGGATCATGGCTCACTGTAGCCTTGAATTCTGGGGCTCAAGCAATCCTCTCATCTCAGCCTCTGGAGCAGCAGGCTCCTACCACCATGCCCAGCTAATTAAAAAATTTTTTTTGTAGAGACAAGGTGTTACCATGTTGCCCAGGCTGGTCTCAAACTCCTGGGCTCAAGCAATTCTCCCTCTTTGGCCTCTCAAAGCACTGAGATTACAGGGATGTGCCATTTCACCTAGCCCCTATTATTATTATTATATATATATTTTGGGACAGGAGTCACACCCTGCCATTTAGGATGGAGTGCAGTGGATCACTGCAACCTCTGCTTCCCAGGTTCAAGCAATTCTCATGCCTCAGCCTCCTGATTAGCTAGGATTACAGGTGTGTGCCACTGCACCCGGCTAATTTTTGTATTTTTAGTAGAGACAAGGTTTTGCCATGTTGGCCAGGCTGGTCTTGAATTCCTGGCCTCAAGTGATCTGCCTGTCTTGGCTTCCCAAAGTGCTGGGAATATAGGCGTGAGCCATCACACCTGACCCCAATTCCTTTTTTATTTATTGAAATTTCCTTTTTCCCCTTACCTTAAAATTTTTTTTCTTTAATTTTCAACTCTGATTCTTCTATCACAGGTTATTTTAAAGGTAAATGTCTTTCTTGTAATGCATGACTTTGGCTTCATTCTACAAGCTTGAGTAGTATTTTCATTCTCATTAACTCTTTAATATTTTCTAATTGCTATTACAATCTTTTCTTGGACCTAGCAATAATCTTGAAATATTTTGTTTAATTGTCCAGGTTTTTCTTTTCTTTACCTTGTCTCATGAATGTTACAGTGAATGCTACTAGAAAGGGTAACTAGATGGGTGTGTAGAGATAGTTTATTTACCCTTAAATCTAAATGAGATTATCAGGAAATTGTTAGGAAATGATTATTAGCTTCTGAGCAAAGGTTAGTTGGTATCAAGTGGCCTGGGTTCAAATCCACTCTAACACTTATTTGGCAGTGTGACCAGGGGTCACCCCACTAAATTTCTCCGTGCTGTTTTTCTTACTGGAAAACTGGTGATCATAATAACCCTATTTCAGAGTTAAAAGCCCTATATTTTGCTTTCACTATAACCTATCAGTTAGAATGACTCATTAGAAAAAAAGTCTATGACATTTTAGGCATCCTAAATTATAAAACTGAGTGCCATTAATCTGTAATCCTAGCTTACATGTAGCATCTGTCTCTTGTTGAAATATTTCAGGACCTTCCTTCCCTACAGTTTCATGAGGTACCTACATGTATGTTTCACCCTGCTGTTGATGTTCAATGCCCTTCTGACATGGCTCTGCAGTTGCTGACTCCCTTCTACTTCCATTCTACCATGGTCCTAGAAGTGCAGAGCAATGTAATGTAGATGGCCAAAATGGAAAAGAACTCTGGGAAACTTTTATTTACCCTAAAACTGGGGTGAACATATGTACTAGTTTGCCTGGAACAGTCCTACTTTATATCTGTTGTCTTGGCACAATAATAATTATTTTTTGAGACAGGGCCTAACTCTTGTCATTCAGGTTGGAGTGTAGTGGCATGATCACACCTCACTGCAACCTTGATACTCTGGACTCAAGTGATCCTCCTACCTCAGCCTCCTAAGTATCTGGATGACAGGCGTGGGCCACCATGCCTGGCTAATTTTTAATTTTTGTGTTTTTCAGACAGGGTCTTACTCTGTTGCCTAGGCTGGAGAGCAATGGCACAATCACAGCTTACTGCAGCCTTGAATTCCCAGGCTCAAGTGATCCCACCATGTCAGACTCCTGAGTAGCAGGGACTATAGGTGCATACCACCATTCCTAATTTTTTTTTTTTTTTTTTTTTGTAGAGATGGGGTTTTGCCATATTGCCCAGGCTGGTCTCAAACTCCCGGGCTCAAGAGATCCATTCACCTTGGCCTCCCAAAGTGTTGGGATTACAAGCATGAGTCACTGTACCTAATTTTTAATTTTTTTGTAGAGGCTGGGTGTGGTGGTACACACCTGTAACACGAGCACATTGAGAGGCTGAGACAAGAGGACTGCTTGAGCCCAGGAGTTTGAGACCTGCCTGGGTAACATAGTGAGACCCTGATCTCTATAAAAAATAGAGGTAGAGGTTGCAGTGAGCCGAAATCATGCCACTGCACTCCAGCCTGGGCAGCAGAGTGAGACTTCATCTAAAATAATAATAATTATTATTATTTGGGTGTGGTAGTGTATACTTGTAGCTTCAGCTACTGGGAGGCTGAGGCAGGAGGACTGCCTGAACCCAGGAGGTGGAGGCTGTGGTGAGTCATGATCATGCCACTGCACTCCAGCCTGGATGACAGAGCAAGCCCCTGTCTCATAAATAAATAATAAATGAGATTTTTTTTGTGGACACAGCATCTCACTATGTTGCCCAAGCTGGTCTCAAATTTCTGTACTGAAATGATCCTCCCACTTTGGTGTCCACAAGTGCTAGAATTAAAGGCGTGAGCCACTGTGCCTGGCCTTAGTATAATTATTAATAGCACTCTCCTTTGCCCTTAAAGTGTCCTGGTTTGGATGATAAATTTTATGGTGACTCTATCTACAACGCCACTTTAAAAGGTCACTTATATAATGAACATTTACACTAAAAGGCTACTTTGCTCTGGGCAATGTTCTAGGTGCCAGGTATGCATTACAGAACAAGACAGACAGGTTTCTAATCTCATGGAGCTTCCATTTTATTGACTAGGCAGGATCACAGAGATCTAGCTCTACTCATGTCAGCTCCTAACACTGCAATAGTGGAACCTGGTAAAGCACACTGAATTGCCGCCATCAGTACTTTTATATTTTTTACCCCTTTCCACAATGGAAGAGTAGTTTCAGACCAAACCTGACTTTGTTTTAGTTCTCTGGATCTCTTCTAAAACTGCATGACAAAAGCATCTACTCCTGCTCTTTCTGCTCTGACTTCATTTTCTCTTCCCAATGCTGCCTCTTGTTTTTCTCAGGAACCTCAAAAGGAGTGACTCATGTGAAGTTTGCTCATGTGAACTGGGATTCTAGTAGTTGTGATAGGTTTAAAACTTCTAAGAAATGTATTGTGTGTGCAAGAGGCAGACTGTGTAGTGTAGGCAGAGAGTGTAGTGACAGGAGACCTAGTCCTTATGCTGCTCTGACTCACTGTATGACTTTGAACATATAGAAGTTTTCCTATCTGAGATGGAAAATGAGATGGTGGGGGCTGGATGATCTCTAAAATTCCATGACTCTAGCTTTGTATGATGAAGCACTCATTTTTTAGGAATGAAATATGATGGAGGGTACTGGTTTAGATAGATGAACAAGTATAACAAGAAAGCAAGAGGAAAGGAGTCAGAACAGGCTTAAGAAGAAAACAACAGGAGCCTGGTTGAGCAAATCAAAGTAAATTGATATAACCTCAGGGCTAGAAATCCATATATCTTATCTTAGGAATACAGGCGTACCTCATTTTATTGTGCTTCATAGATACTGTGTGGTTAAAAAAAAAAAGGACGGTTTGTGGCAATGCTATAAGTCTGTGAGCACCGTTTTGCCAACAGTATGTGCTCACTTTGTGTTGCTGTGTCACATTTTGGTAATTCTCACATTTCAAATCTTCTCATTATTATTACATCTGTTATGGTGATCTGTGATCAGCGATCTTTAATGTTACTATTGTAACTGTTTTGGGGGTGCCATGAATTGTGCTCACATAAATGCTAAACTTTTTTTTTTTTTTTTGAGAGGCAGTCTTGTTCTGTCGCCAGGCTGGAGTGCAATGGCGCAATCTTGGCTCACTGCAACCTCCGCCTCCCAGGTTGAAGTGATTCTCCTGCCTCGGCCTCCCGAGTAGCTGGGACTACAGGTGTGCGCTACCATGCCCAGATAATTTTTGTATTTTTAGTAGAGATGGAATTTCACCATGTTGGCCAGGATGATCTCGAACTCCTGATCTCATGATCTGTCCGCCTCGGCCTCCAGAAGTGCTGGGATTAAAGGTGTGAGCCACTGTGCCCGGCAAACTTTTTTTTTTTTTTTGAGACAGTGTATCTCTCTGTTACCCAGGCATGAATGCAGTGGCACTAATCATATCTCACTGCAACCTCAAACTCCTGGGCTCAGGTGATCCTCCTGTCTCAGTCCCAAGTAGTTGGGACTACAGATGTGTGCTACCGTGCCTGGTTATTTTTTTTTTTTTTTTTTTTTTTAGAGATAGGGTCTTGCTATGTTGCCCAGGCTCGTCTTAAACACCTGACCTCAAGTGATTCTCCCATCGCACCCTTACAGGTATGAGACACTGTGCCTACCCTAAGACGGCAAACTTAATCGATAACTATTGCATGTGTTCTGAGTGTTCTACTGACTGGTCATTCTCCTGTCTCTCTCCCTCTCTTCAGGCCTCCCTACTCCCTGAGATACAACAACATTGAAATTAGACCATTTAATAACCCTACAATGGCCTCTAAGTATTCAAATGAAGTGGAGAGTGGCATGTCTCTCACTTCGTGGTTGCAGGGAGCAGATGAAAGTTCTGTCCAGGGGCCAGGAAGAATGGCCCACATCAATCTGTAGAAAAGCACAGCCACAAAGAGAAGGATAAGAGGGATGAGATGACTGCCTTAGTAAGAAAGGCATGGCAAAGGCCAACGCAGGCTAAAGCTGGCCTCCTGTGGGAAACAGCCAAGTGGTAAATGCAAAGAGAAAGTTTTGTTTTGTTTTGTTTTAAGACAGGGTCTCACTGTCACCCAGGCTAGAGTGCAGTGGCGCAATCTCAGCTCACTGCAACCTCCACCTCCCAGGTTCAAGCACTTCTCCTGCCTCAGCCTCCCGAGTAGCTGGGACTACAGGTGCACACCACCACACCCGGCTAATTTTTTGTATTTTAGTAGAGACAAGCTTTCACAGTATTGCTGAGGCTGGTTTCGAACTCCTGACCTCAGGCAATCCACCCGCCTTGGCCTCCCAAAGTGCTAGGATTACAGGCATGAACCACCACGCCTGGCCAATTTTTGTATTTTTTTGTAGAGATGGGGTTTTGTCATGTTGCCCTGGCTGGTCTTGAACTCTTGGGCTCAAGGAATCTGCCTGTCTTGACCTTCCACAGTGCTAGGATAACATGAGGGAGCCACCATACCCAGCTGAAAAAATTCTTGAAGGAAATTAAAAGTGCTACTCTAATGAACACATGAATGATAAGAAAGTGAAACAGCCTTATTGCTGACATGGAGAAAGTTTTAGCAGTATAGGTAGATCAAATCAGCCATGATATACACTTAACCAAAGCCTAATCTACAGCAAGGCCCTAACTCTCTTCAATTCTGTGAAGGCCGAGAGACGTGAGGAAGCTGAAGAGAAGTCTAAAGCTAGCAGATATTGGTTCATGAAGTTTAAGGAAAAAAGTCCATCTCCTTAACATTAAAGTGCAAGGTGAAGCAGCAAGTGCTGATGGAGAAGTTACAGCAAATTACCCAGAAGATCTCGCTAAGATCACTGATGAAAGTGGCTACACCAAACAACAGAGTTTCAATGTAGATGAAACTGCCTTCTATTGAAAGAAGATGCCACCTAGGACTTTCATAGCTAGAGAAGATAAGTCAATGCCTGGCTTCAAAGCTTCAAAGGACAAGCTAACTCTCTCCTTAGGGTTAATGCAGCTGGTGACTTTAAGTTGAAGCCAATGCTCTTTTACCATTCTAAAAGTCCCAGGGCCCTTAAGAATTATGCTGAATCTATTCTGCCTGTGCTCTATAAGTGGAACGACAAAGTCTGGATGACAGCACATCTGTTTACAGCATGGTTTCCTGAGTATTTTAAACCCACAGTTGAAAGCTAATACTCAGATTTCTTTTCAAAACATTTCTGCTCACTGGTAAGGTACCTAGTCAGCCAAGAGCTCTGATGGAGATATACAAGGAGCTTAATGTTGTTTTCATGCCTACTAATATAACATCCATTTTGCAGCCCATGTATCAAGGAGTAATTCAACTTTCAAGCACTACTATTTAAGAAACATATTCTGTAAGGGTATAGCTGCCATAGATGTTGATTCCTCTGATGGATCTAGGAAAGTAAATGAAAACCTTCTGGAAATAATTTACCATCTTGGATGCCATTAAGAATACTGGTGATTCACAGGAGGAGGTCAAAATATCAATATTAACATAAGTTGGGACGAAGTTGATTCCAACTCTCCTGGTGGGCTTTCAAGACTTCAGTGGAGGAAGTAAATGAACTAGGCCGGGCGCAGTGGCTCATGCCCACAATCCTAGCACTTTGGGGGGCTGAGGGGGGTGGATCAGTTGAGGCCAGGAGTTCGAGACCAGGCTGGCCAACATGGTGAAACCCCATCTTTACTAAAATACGAAAAATGAGCTGGGTGTGGTGGTACGCACCTGTAATTCCAGGTACTCGGGAGGCTGAGGTGGGAGAATTGCTTGCACCCAGGAGGCAGAGGTTGCAGTGAGTGAGATTGTGCCATTGCACTCCAGCCCTGAGCAACAGAGCAAGACTTTGTCTTGGAAAAAAAAAAAAAAAGAAATAGTAAGAGAACTAAAATAGAAATGGAACATGAGGATGTGACAGAATTACTGCAATCTCAAGATAAAACCTGAACAGATGAGGAGTTGCTTCTTATAGATGAGCAAAGTGGCTTCTTGAGATGAAATCTACTCCTGGTGAAGATGCTGTGAACATCATTGAAATGATAAAAAAAGATTTAGAATATTACATAAATTTAGTTGATAAAGCAATGGCTGTGTTTGGGAGAATTGACTCAAATTTTTAAAGAAGTTCTACTGTGGTTAAAATGCTATCAAATGGCATCAATGCTACAGAGAACTCTTCCATGACAGGAAGAGTAGACTGAGGTGGCAAACTTCATTGTCTTATTTTACAAAATTGCCACAGCCAGCCCAACCCTCAGCAGTCACCACCCTGATCTGTCAGCAGCTATCAACACTGAGGCAAGATTCTCTACCAGCAAAAAGATCATGACTCGCTGAAGGTTCAGATAATTGTTGGCTTATATACACTGAAAAACCAAAGACTGTGTGTGACTTGTTTTATTGCCATGATCTGGAACCAAATCTGGAACATCTCCAAGGTGTGTCTGTACATGTGTGTTGTACAGGGAGAAAAGCAGGGGAACAAATGGAACTGCAAAGCACACATGTAAAGATATAACTTTGTAAGGTAATAATGACAGAGAAACTACACAGGAGCTTTGGGACTTTCAGTGTTCGAAGGAAAAGTCTGATAAAAGCTACAGTCACCCAATAACTTAGAAAGAAAGTATGAAGTTAAGTTTGGATCCAAGAGTAATTTATTTAGGCTAAGGAGTAAATGGTCCAGAAGCTTTGTGTATGCTATATCCAAGACTCACTCACTTGCATATTCCACCTGTGAGAGAGGGAAGGAGAGGAGTTCACTCCTACCTGTAAGAAAGGGTATCAAGCCCACTGGTGTCTATGCCTCAAACAAGCACCAGCTTCTTAACCAGAAACCCGAAAAGGAAGGGAAAACATTAAATCCTCACTCCACCATCATACATACCTGGTTCAGCACAGAGCTCACAAGGGCTGAGGGACCCTCCACAGGAACATCTAAGGAATCCAGAGAAGAACGCACCCGTAGAAAGGCTAGGCCAAAGGACTGATGACGTGTGAAGGGTTGGGAGCAGGTCAGGCGAAGTCGATCCCATGACTCTCCGGAGGCTGGAGCCAGGAAGTCAACTCAAGGAAAAAAGAGACAGAAAATTGGAGGAATGGAAATGCGTAAATGGGAGAGAAAGAGGAAGAAAAGGTCAAAACTAAGGAAAGGAGCTATAGGGAGTAAACTCCAACAAAAGGAAGGAGGAGGTCATCAGTAAATGTCCCCTTAGGCTTGGGTGCTCAGGGTATGGTAATGCCAAGCAGACCAGTCAGGGCTCCTCATATCCAGTCCCTTGCCTTCCCACCATCACTCCTCTGTCACAGTTCCACACTATTCCCAGCATGAATTCTATACCTCTCCAGGGACCTCATCAATATCTCATTTTAAGAAGAAGTTATCTGTAGAGTAGGGGCCCAGTGGATTAGCTGAGATATATATTGACCTTCCTTGGATCATAAGACCTCAACCTCCCTCGCACCACCACGTGCTCCACATGCTAACAGTATCACACTCTGATATCACAAACCCCAAACATCTTTAGTTCCTAACACTGTCCAGTCAGTACCTCGATTCCTCCAAATCATATGCCCCTCCAATGTCACTCTTTCTTTACAATATTACAAATATTTCCAACTTAAAAATGGACAAATCCTTATGAAACTATACATCCCTAGAGGCTGGGAATCAGATCTTATGTTTCTTCTGTAGTGCCTAGTGAACAGAGATTTGTATAAACATTATATGCCACATAACAATAACCACTATGTAGCCTTCCATTACTTACATCAACATCTATCCTACATCCACACTTACACACACAAAAACATATTATTATTATTATTATTTTGAGACAGTTTCCCTCTTGTCACCCAGGCTAGAGTGCAATGAATGGCATGATCTTGGCTCACTGCAATCTCTGCCTCCCAGGTTGAAGCAATTCTCCTGCCTCAGCCTCCTGAATAGCTGAGATTACAGGTGCCCACCACCACGTCTGGCTAATTTTTGTATTTTTAGTAGAGATGGGGTTTCATCATGTTGGCCAGGCTGGTCTCGAACTCCTGACCTCAGATAATCCACTCGCCCTGGTCTCCCAAAGTGCTAGGATTACAGGTGTGAGCCACCATGCCTGACCACAAAAACATATTAATCAATAAGTGTGTGTGTTCTATATATTGGGCCCTACCGAATCCCATGTATAAATATAAATAGTTCATAAATCATCTCCCCAGCTAGCACACATCCTTACCATACAGATCTCACACACAAGCACACCATTCCTTAACCACCCTTTGCCCCAACAGATGTAATTAAGCCCCTGCACAGGCTCCCTCCCACAGTCTACAACCTAATAGAACCCACAGCTCTTTAGTACTGCATCTCTGTTTCTCATAAAGACCACCCCGCTCTTCTCTGCATTTGCCCTCTTTACCATCTTTAAACATGCGGACCCTGGAGCGGTTCTTCCCCTGCTTTGAATCAGTTAGAGACATTAGCATGGTTGCAGGGAGCAGGGTGACAAAAGGTCTGTCCAGAGGCCAGGAAGAACGGCCCACATCAATTTGCAGGAATGCACAGCCACAGTTACCTGGGGACAAAAGGTTGAGAGAAGGGTAAGAGGGATGAGATGACTAAAGACAAAGGAATAGGGTGGAAGGAGGACATTACTCTACTTTATAGCTAGTTGAAAGCCAGAAAGGTTCAGCGATTGTGGAGTCCCACAGGGAATCACTGACTGTAGTGGAATGAGACTGCAGTCCACTAAATACCAATGTCACACATTTACCATGTTCCTCCCAGCCAAAAACCTTCCCCTGATTAAAGAGATTTGTTGCTTCTCTGTCTTCTGGCCCTGGTGGACAGCACTAAATTCTGTCTCTCTTAATTCCTTTCTAGGGAGTCTGACATCTCTCTGTCCTGACAAAACTGAGACCAGTGGACTTGATGTTCTAGATTCCAGAGAATTCTAAGGTCAATCTTCTCAATCCATAAACTCCTTTTTAGCCTTCTCAGATTATCCTTGCACAGGTCATCTCTCTAGCATCCTCCTGATACTGATATTTACAGGCGTATGCAGGTTTTATTTGTTGGGATTTTTATTTATTTATTTATTTATTTATTTATGAGACAGAGTCTCGCTCTGTTGCCAGGCACCAGGCTGGAGTGCAGTGGTGTGATCTCGGCTCACTGCAACCTCTGCCTCCCTGGTTCAAGCCATTCTCCTGCCTCAGCCTCCCGAGTAGCTGGGACTACAGGCGTGTGCCACCACGCCCAGCTAATTTTTGTATTTTAGTAGAGATGGGGTTTCACTATGTTGGCCAGGATGGTCTCGATCTCCTGACCTTGTGATCCGCCCACCTTGGCCTCCCAAAGTACTGGGATTACAGGTGTGAGCCACTGTACTCGGTCCTATTTTTATTTTTTGAGACAGGGTCTCACTGTTGCCCAGGCTGGAGTGTAGTGGCGTCATCACAGCTCACGGCACGCTTGACCTCCTGGGCTCAGGCGATCCTCCTACCTCAGGCTCTCATGCAGCTAGGACTACAGGCGTGTACCACCAAAGCTGGCTAATTTTTGCATTTTTGGTAGACGCAGGATTTTGTCATGTTGCCCAAGCGGATCTCAAACTCCTGGGCTCAAGGGATCCTCCCACCTTGGCCTTCCAAAGTGTTAGGATTACAGGCATGAGCCACTGTGCCCGGTCGGGATTTATAATTATGTCAGTGTTCTAAGGTTTTACCCAGACCACTCAGATCAAAGCATGATAGTTATGTTGCATAATTCGAGGAGCACCATTCACATTGTACTCCACGTGAATAGAGCCCTTGGAGTTCGCCACACAGATCTGCTCCAAGGGCCAGGGCCACATTTCCTTTTGACACCTAGGCAAAACTTATTCCATAAATGCTGCTCAGCTGGAAGGAACTGAGACATGTTAGTGGAGTGGTTAGAGGGGAATATCACTCCTGTGTTCTTCCTCAGAGGTTCCTAGGCCACAGAGAACTCACCCACATCAATGTAGCCAATGGGCACTGCCCTCTCCAGCTGTAGTTCCACTTTCAGTTGCCCACTTTTGTCCTGAGGGCAGCTGAGCCAAGGTCGCCTTGGACTGTCTGGGTTTAGCAAGTTCTCTACAGGATATCTGGGATCCTAAGTAAGAGAGAAGGAGAAAATCAGGAATCTCACTGAGCTCAAGGGAAGAAGGATGCCCACAAATGAGGGATCCCTATAATCTCAAACCTTCCCAGTCATCCTAACATGAAAGAAAAGGCACTAGATGGGAGGCCATAGGAATACTGTTATCATGTGCCAAGCGGTTTACAGATACCATTTGCCTCTATCCTATTTACCAGACGACCTCATTTAATCTTTGTAACAACTCTTAGGTGGTTATATTACTTCCAAGTTAACAGATCAATATTGAAGCTTAGAGAGGTTCAGAAACTTACTGAAGGCCACAGGCTAAATAACCAAGCAAAACAGAATTCCCAGGTTTCTAAAAGCAGAGCTCTTAATCACCATGTTATACTATTTCATTTATAAGATGTTTTCAAGGACATTTATTTATCTTTATAGTTATCCTGTGAGATAAGAAAGTCAAAGATCTTTATTCTAAGTTTATAAATGATACTTAGATGTAAAGTGATTAATAAAGTCTAATTAGTGATCTTGAAATATAAATTCTGAGTTCTAACCTAAAGTCAGATATTTTTTGGTTGAGAGATCTTGAGTAAACAACTTTCCCTCTCTGGGTCTAAATTTCTTTCTTTCTGTAATCTCAGTTATTTGAGAGGCTAAGGCAGGAGAATCGCTTGAACCTGGATGGTGAAGGTTGCAGTCAGCTGAGGTTGTGCCACTGCACTGCAGCCTGGATGACAGACTGAGACCCTGTCTCAAAAATAAAATTAAAAAAAAAAATTATTTCTTTTTGGCCGGGCGCGGTGGCTCAAGCCTGTAATCCCAGCACTGTGGGAGGCCGAGGCGGGTGGATCACGAGGTCAAGAGATCGAGACCATCCTGGTCAACATGGTGAAACCCCGTCTCTACTAAAAATACAAAAAATTAGCTGGGCATGGTGGCGCATGCCTGTAATCCCAGCGACTCAGGAGGCTGGGGCAGGAGAATTGCCTGAACCCGGGAGGCGGAGGTTGTGGTGAGCCGAGATCGCGCCATTGCACTCCAGCCTGGGTAACAAGAGTGAAACTCCGTCTCAAAAAAAAAAAAAAAAACTATTTCTTTTCTTTTTTTTTAGAGACAGGTCTTGCCCAGGCTGGAGCGCAGTGATACAATCATGGCTCACTGCAGCCTCAAATCCCTGGGAGGATCACTTGAGTGATCCTCCTACCTCAGCCTCCCGAGTAACTGAGACGACAGGTGTGTGCCACCATACCTAGCTAATTTTTATTTTTGTTTTTAATTGAGATAGGGTCTTGCTCATTGCCCAGGGTATAGTGCAGTGGCACAATCACAGCTCAACGCAGCCTTAACTTCCCAGGGTCAGGATACTCCCACCTGTCTCCTGAAGAGCTGGGACTACAGGTGAATGCCAGCACACCCGGCTAACTTTTGTATATTTTGTAGAGATGGGGCTTCACCATGTTTCCCAGGCTGGTCTTGAACTCCTGGGCTCAAGCAATCTGTCCGCCTCAGCCTCCCAAAGTACCGGGATTACAGGTGTGAGCCACTAGACCTAGCTAATTTTTAAATTTTTTGTAGAGATGAGGTCTTGCTATATTGCTCAGGCTGGTTTCCAACCCCTAGCCTCAAGCTATCCTCCCACCTCAGCCTCCCAAAGTGTTGGGATTACAGGTATGAGCCCTGTAATCTAAATGTCTTCATCCATAAGTAAAAGAGGGAGACCAGCCTCATGGTTTTCAACCTTGTTTTTGTGTTAGCAATAAAACCCTTTTAACTGAAATCTTACACTGATGTGTGTGTGGTGTTTTGCGGGGGGTGGGTGCTTTTTTTTTTTTTTTTTTGGTAAATAAAAGGAGAGCTCTGGTTAAATCACAGGTGGGGAGGACTAGAGACATACGTGTCCCCCTCTCCCTTTCAACTCACTGAAGTGGGTCTCTACAGAGTACAGCTGAAAACCACAGAGTTTGAAATTAGCTAATGTTCTCTAGCATTTTATAAGGCTAAGAGTCTATGAAGCGGCCAGGCGCAGTGGCTCATGCCTATAATCTCAGCATTTTGGGAGGTTAAGGTGGGCGGATCACGAGGTCAGGACTTCAAGACCAGCCTGCCCAACACAGTGAAACCCCAGCTCTACTAAAAATATAAAAATTAGCTGGGCATGGTGGCGCACACCTGTAGTCCCTGCTACTCTGGAGGATGAGGCAAGAGTGTTGCTTGAAACAGGGAGGCGGAGGTTGCAGTGAGTTGAGATCGTGCAGCTGCACTCCAGCCTGGGCAACAGAGCGAGACTCCATCTCAAAAAAAGAGTCTGTGAAGCAAATTGTTTAGCCTGACCATGCAGGTAAGGAGGATAAGCAAAATATTAATTTTATTTTACTTAGAATAGGGGTTAATATATTAGTTCCTAAAGATCCTCTAAGGGTCTTTCTTTTTCTTTTTTTGATACAAGGTCTTGCTCTGTTGCCCAGGCTGGAGTGCAGTGGCACAGTCATGGCTCACGGTTAGCCCTGACCTCCAAGGCTCAAAGCAATTCTCCCACCTTGGCTTCCTAAGTAGCTGAGACCACAGGCACATGCTATCACACAGGGCTAATTCTTTATTTTTTGTAGAAATGGGGTCTCCCTGTGTTGCTCAGCCTGACCTTGAACTCCTAGACTCAAGAGATCCTCCTGCCTTGGGCTCCCAAAGTGTGGAACTACAGGCATGAATCACCCGTGCCTGGTCTAAGGATCTCCCTGAAATGTGTGGGAGATGTTTTTGACAGTCACAATGACTAGGAAACCAGGGGGCAAGGGATGTTAAACATCCCATCATGCAAATGAAATTGCTACGAAATACAGACTTATGCCCCTAAATGCCAATGGCACCCCTTGAGAAAGACCAGGGTAACAGAAGGGGGAGAGGGGGAGTAGGGGTAAACAGATAGAGCAGTGACAGAAGAGGAAAAGGTAGGAAGTCCCTAAGAATCACATCAGATCAGGCCTGGACTCAGGGCCTAGGATCTAGCTCTAATTTGGATATTGTAGAACTTTTAGGAAGGAGGCTGAGATCACACTTGATAGTGGTGATAACCTCGCAGGTCTGGGATTACCTCAAGTGTCCTGCCCTGTTCTCAATGATAGAATGATCAAACTCCCCTTCTGAGGATCCTGCTGCAGTTTCTGGGCCTACAGCTTTGCCAGCGCCCTTCAAACTGGGTGGAATCCTGAGGGTGCTGCTTTCTGTACTTTCCACTTCTGAGAACACTTCTTTTCACTTCCTGTACTTCTATGGGAACAACCTGAGGACAAGAGCTGTTTCTTCTCTTAGACTCTGAACTCACAATGTCTCTTCTATTAGATTGGGAGTTTTCTGAAAGTGGAGCCAAGACTCCTATTTTTTTCACTCCTTTCAGTTATCAAGAAAACAAATCATGCCTGTTGATTAAGATACCTGAGAAGAAAATGATACCACGTGGCTGATCTTCACAGGAGCCATGGTGGGCCCAGCACGGTGTCAAGTACAAGCAAAAATGCTTTCTCCCAAGATTTCTTCTGTCACCACTTTGGCACTGACTATGTGTTAGCTTCCAGAAAAGCAACAATCCTCACATTACTCCTGAAATAGAGAACAGAAGAAAAATAAAATAGCCATGGCTATGATAACAGGAGTTATTTGCAGCAGTCAGTCCACTTCTGATGACCAACATGGGCCTGGTGGGAGTGGTGGGAGGGAGTAGGTTTGGATCAGCTGATGAGGCTCCAACAAATATGAAATAACTCAAATGCAACCAGAAAGCAACACAGCAGCAAGTACAAAATAATATATTAAGATGTTAATGTTGGATTTATATATAGGTGAGCTCTCAAGGGCATGAATTGTGCCTTAAATTGTACACCTTCATATCACTAGAGCCTAGTGCATAGTAAAGATAGGCAACAAATGTTCAACTAAATATATGATACAACTCTTTTTTTCTTCTTCTCCTAAAATGAATCTTCCTAAATTTAGCTTTTCATGAAGTTATTCCTCTACTAGACATCTTGAATGACTTGCTGCTTTATGCAAAACCCTTGCTAAGCCGGGTGTGGTAGCCTGTGCCTGTAGTCCTAGTGACTCAGGAGGGTGAGGCAGGAAGATCACTTGAGCTCAGGAGTTGGAGGGTGCAGTGAGCCATGACGGTGCCACTGCATTCCAGCCTGGGTGATAGAGTGAGACCGTAACTCTAAAAAAAAAAAAAAAAAAAAAAAAAGTTCTTGTGAATATTTGTACTTCGTGTTTTGCTAAACATTTTATCTAAGTTTAAATATGCAAAAACACACATATTAGTATAATGAGCTCATGCATCCATCACCTTGTTTCAACAATTCCTTGGTGAGAGGAGTTTTAAAGTTGTCTGAGAGTCTTTAGAGAATCTCTCTTCAAATATTTATCCCTGTCCATTTTATTCATGTTTATTACCCATCTGGCTCCTGAAAATATGAGTCCGTGACTCTTGATATACTCCTGGCCATAATGGTCTTTTTGCTTACCCTTCCCACCAAAAGTTTTTTCCCTTTTCTCCAAGATTTTGCTCATGCCATTGCCTCTGCTTGGAATGTTCTTTCTTCTTCCCACTTAGCAAATCTAATGCATCTTTGGTGCTCAAATGTTCTCTCCTCTGCTTAAACAGCTCAGAGTGGCAGCTCCATCCTGTCAATTCTCACTTAGCCTTTAACAGAGTGCCTCATATTATAGTTATATGGGTATACGTCTTCTTGACTCTTGACAAACTGTAAGCTCTTGGAGGACAAGTTTCATGTCTGATTCATTTCTGTGTGCCCAACATAAAAGGGAGAAGATAGTTCCTGATTTGCAAATGTCTGTTGAATGAATGACCATAAAAATTGTGCTCCAAAGGGCTCACAGTCATAAAGCATTCAAAATGGGGTAGATTGCAGCAACAGCAGTAACAAACTCTTAGTAATGCCATCTGAATGTCAAGCACTCCTCACAGGCCATAGTCCGTACAGTATTAAGGCTTCAAAGACAGAAGAATGAAGGATGAGTCCTGAGTCTCTTCCCTAGGGCTCAGATTAATTAGGGCTCACTGTTCCTGCTATAGGAACTCACTGGGAACACAAAAATCTTTCCTTATCTCTGCTAGATTTTGGAGATATAAAAATAAATAAGGCATAGTCACTGTTTTGAAGAAACTCACAGTATATTTTTGTGATTTGATGTGAAAAACTCCACTATCTCTCATCATCAATGAACACTCAGACCAGGCACAGTAGCTCACACCTGTAATCCCAGCACATTGGGAGGCCAAGGAGGGTGGATATCTTAAGCCTAGGAGTTTAAGATTAGCTTGGGCAACATGGTGAAATCCCGTCTCTACAAAAAAAAAACAAACAAAAAAAAACCCCAAAATTAGCCAGATGTGGTGGCATGTGCCTGGAGTCTGAGCTACTCAGGAGGCTGAGGCAGGAGGATTGCCTGAGCTTGGGAAGCAGAGGTTGCAGTGAGCTGAGATCGCACCATTGCATTCCAGCCTGGGAGGCAGTGAAACCCTGTCTCAAAAATAAATAAATACATAAATAAATAAACATTTTTGGCTTGGCAATTCTGAAGCTGTCAGTCTTGGATATCTCATTCAGTTAGTATTTTGGTGGGTATCTAGTAGGTACCAGGCACTGTACTAGGTGCTAGATACACAGTGGTGAATAAGACACATACAATGTTTTTCATGAAGATTATCACCTGTCAAACTGCTTGTAGTTCTCACAAGATTAAGCTCTTTCAGAATGCCTTCCCTTATAAAAACTGTTGTTGCCATCTTCTGGTAATTGCTTTTTTACCCTGTGTGCCTCCTCACTAAGTAGTGAGCTCTTTAAGGATGTGGATTTTTGTCATGCTTATGATCTCCCACACTTCAGAGCAACATCATGTTTCTGTCAGAAACAATAAAGTAATAAGTTATGTTCAGGAAATTGGTTGACAATGTGAAGCAAAATAAAAGTAGATCCCTACCTCACAGCATATTTAAAAAATTATACCTAGACTGGGTGAGATGGCTTACACCTGTAATCCCAGCATTCTGGGATGCTGAGGTGGGTGGATCACTTGCGGTCAGGAGTTCGAGACCAGCCTGGCCAAAATGGTCAGTAAAAACCCTGTCTCTACTCAAAATACAAAAATTAGCTGGGCCTGGTGGCACATGCCAGTAATCCCAGCTACCAGGGAGGCTGAGGCAGGATAATTGCTTGAACCTGGGAGGCGAAGGTTGCAGTAAGCCAAGATCACCCGTCTGCACTCTAGCCTGAGTGACAGATTGAGACTCTGTCTCAAAAAATAAAATGAAATAAAAATAAATAGTTACACCTAAAAGGCTGGGCATAGTGGCTTACGCCTGTAATCTCAGTACTGTGGGAGGCAGAGGCTCAGGAGGATTGCTTGAACCCAGGAGTTCAAGACCAGCAACATAGCGGGACCCCATCTCTACAAAATATTTTTAAAAATTTGCCAGGTGTGGTGGCACATGCCTATAGTCCCAGCTACTCAGAAGGCTGAGGTGAAAGATTTGCTTGAGCTTGGGAGATGGAGGTTGCAGTGAGCAGTGCTCACACCATTGCACTTCAGCCTGGGTGACAGAGTGAGACTCTGTCTCAAAAAATATCTGTATTCCCAAATGGATCAAAGACAGAAATATGAAAAACAGTAAGAAGGCACAAACCAGGTTAAAATACAAATGCTTAACAAAAAGATCTTTGCAACACATGTAAACTTTGACAGCACATAGAAAATACGTATTTTTTAAAATGACAAATCAGTAAGGGAAAGCAATATGACAGAAACTAGGGAGAAAATATAAACAGACAACTCACATATGATGGAATCCGAATGGCCAAAAACCCATGTAAAAAAATCTTCAACCTGCCATACTATAAGGAAATTACAAATACAATTTCTCACTTCTAGGACTGGCAAAAACTTAAAAGTCTGATAATATAAATGACTGGCTACAATGTGGGGAAATGGGTCCCCCTCAGAAACACATTCAGCACATCTCAATTCTGACTGGCCACATTTCAAGAATATAATAGGCACATCTGGCTAGTAGCTAATTTATTTGTATGTGTACAAAAAGACATACAGTGTTTCTAAATGCAAAAATTATAAAACTCTAATGTCCATCAATTGAGGAACGAATAAATGAAATTTTATAAAACCACACAATACAGCACTACACAACAGTTAAAAGTATGAATTAGACATAAACATATGTAAACATGAACAGGCTTCAAAAATATTATGGCCAGGCACTGTGGCTCATGCCTGTAATCCCTGCACTTTGGGAAGCCAAGGCAGGTGAACTGCTTGAGCCCAGGAGTTCAAGTCCAGCCTGGGCAACACGGTGAAACCCCGTCTCCATTTATAAAATTTAAAAAATATATAGTGTGAAATAATCAAGTTACATAATGATACATAGAAAATAGCACTTAGTAACAAGGGCACGTTGCTCAAGCCTGTAATTCCAGCACTTTGGGAGGTGGAGGAGGGCAGATCACTGGACCTCAGGAGTTTGAGACCAGCCTGGCCAACGTGGTGAAACCCCCTCTCTACAAAAACACACAAAAATTAGCTGGGCATGGTGGCGCACAGCTGTGGTCCCAATTACTCGGGAGATTGAGGCTGCAGTGAGCCAAGATCTTGCCACTGCACTCCAGCCTGGGGAACACAGCCAGATCCTGTATCACTCAGGCCAGGCACAGTGGCTCAGCTTGTAATCCCAGCACTTTGGGAGGCGGAGGCTCACTTGAGATCAGGCTAACATGGTGAAACCCCATCTCTATTAAAAATACAAGCATGGTGGCGCGCGCCCATAGTCCCAGCTACTCGGGAGGCTGAGACATGAGAATCGATTGAACCTGGGAGGAGAAGGCTGCAGCGAGCCCAGGTTGCATCACTGCACTCCAGCCTTGATGACAAAGCGAGACACCGTCTCAAAGAAAACAAAAAGCACTCAAATTAAAAAGCAAAATGAAACACAATACAATACTATATAGTCATGGATATGTACAATTTTTAAAAAGGGATTGGAGAACACAGAGCTAATTCTAATTCATAATAGTTGCTTCTGGAGAGGATGCGCTTGAGAGTAGAAAATGCAAGTGCAACCTTTTTTTTTTTTTTTTTTTTTTTTT